ACACACACACCAGGGGGTTTCTCTGAACTACCCGATACATGAAGCTGACTTCTGTCAACAATAAGTCTAAATGGAGAGCGCAGCAGCGCACAGCCTCGCTAGCAAACTTTGCGGGGTTTGTCTGATTCAAAGTGAAGTTCACAGCAAATGGAGGGAACACAGTTGCTGCTTACTGAGATGATAAACTGCCCGGCAACTGTCTGACATCAACAGAGCAACACCGAGACTAAACCAAGACCCAAATCAAATGTTTTAAAACCAGGAGTACTCAAGCTGGTCAGAGAGCATTTCAAATCCTCCTTAAAATAGTTTTTTTTTTTTTTTTCTTTTTGTTGTTACATTATTACTGCTACTGGATGGAAACCTGATTTATTTGCTGCTTCTTTTAGAGAACTTTGAACATGTGGTAAAACCTCAAAAGGCAATAATATAGTAAATACTAATTAAGTATCAAGATTTAAAAAAAAATAAAAAAATAGATTTATCATTGAGATTACTTTAGTAACAGAGATTTAAGTGCAGCAGGTATAAAGAAAAAAAAAAGGAAAATCATAAATATATAGAAAGGACACAGGCAGACAAAAGTACAAACAGGATCACAGACAAGTGAAGTCAGTCAACAGATTTGAAGTTGAACGTTTCATATCAGTGAACAGTTGAAGTGTAGAAAAGCAGTCATGTCAAGTTCAGCACTCACCGATGCTAACTGACAATATAATTACCATTGTATAATTCATTGTTACCCTCAAGCTGTCTGAAATCCAGTGTTAGAGGTCAACTAATTATTGACCGATATGTGATTAATATAATATAAATATAATCATTTTAAAAATGTAAAACTCCTACTTTGGCCATGTTTCAATAAGATGAAACTTTAATAATCCCACTGTGAGGACATTTGTAAATTTACAGCAGCACAGATAGAGCAAACATTTAGGAAAAGATTATGAAGTAAAAGAAACCAAGATATACACAAGTACTAGTTATTAAAAAACAAAAACAAAAACACAGTATTGCACATGCCAGTGGTATTGCACAGATTATATGATGAATTTAAATGCTGTTAGCATTCTAAGTACTTATGAAAATCAATATGACACCATTGTTGTCATACTCTGGACTGGAGGTAACTGTTTGAATGATGTGCCTGGCAGCCAGGCACATGAGCTATAAAACGGACATCTTCAGGCCATCAGCCTGGTCACGGGCAGGTTTGTTTGTTAAATAGTCGGAGAGGAGGGTTCCATTGATGTCCCTGCTCACCAGCTAAACAGGGTTTGAAGACAGAAGCAGCACATGAGGTGATACCTGGGCAAAAGTGAGTGTTTGTAACTTGCTGAGGATATGAATGGACAGTAGAGAAGCAGATTCTGCTGCAGCGCTGAGTGCCTTCACAAGTTTCTTATACGACCAGTTAGCTCTCAGTTACAGCAACATTACTGCCATTACAGGTCTTGTTGTGTTTTTCACTGTGATGGCAGAAACTCACTATTTTATAACTGCTGTGTACGGCATGAATTAAAAAGCTACGATCTGCTGGCTGAGAATTGGTAGACGCTATATCATGTCTCTTGCACAGGGAGGGCCATACATATATATATATATGTGTGTGTGTGTGAGCATCTGATAGCCATGGCAGCACACATGCATGCCACCATATGGATGCAGGGAGTGGGCAGGAGTTGTGTTTGTGCTCTGCATGTTTTATGAACTGCAGTGGTGCTCACCTTCCAGAAGGCTGATCTTGGGCCCGCACAGACACACCAACACATCCAGAAAGGCTCCTCTGGTCACCACACAGCTGTTCTGTCTGAAAAGAGAGACACAACATAACCTTGTTTTGATCTTCAGTAGCAAAGACAACTGGTGAGATTCGGTTAAATCAGAAAGCTTGAAGAAGCTTTTAAATGTGATGTGTAACAACACAAAGTTTGCTCTTAAGAACCCTCTGTAATGAAGGATCTCTTTTATTAAAGAGGTTGTTTAAATGGTCCCGAAGCACTTATTGATTTACTGAGATAACTCTGCAGCCTCCAGTCACCGATCATCTGTTTCCCATTAAGATCACAGACTGCGATTTTTCTCAGAAACAGGCTCATGTCTCACCACAAACTATTAAATTAGGCCACTGGACATTTGTAACTCAATGAATCCATTGGTTGTGAGAATCTTCATGATGTGGTGAGGAGGTCTCTCGGGCTAATGTCCTGTCCCTGTCGATTCCAGACAGCGAAAGGTTATATTTAACTTTCTAATCTGATGTTCGATCGAACCATTACACCTCAGGGCACACTTAGTGGTGTATTTTTGTCTGGAGTTTTAGGTCATGTTTTGTGTTTTGGTTTCTCTTGTTATATTCTGTGACAATTTGATTAAATCTCACACCCGGATATGTCTGTTTACATTCACTCAGTAGTGTCGAAGCTGTGACTTCATCTCAGACACACAGTCGAGTTGAGCACCTCGACAAATCCATTCACTTAAACAAGACATAATTACTGTTTTTTTTTTCTCCTGTAAGGTTTTCACATGTGGGACATTTAGTGCCCACAGGGGGTTACCAATACTGAGGACATACTCTATGTTACTACTCACACTTGTCATTAGCTTCCACACTTGTCTCCTGTTTGCTCTGTGCAAACACAACTTCAGCCAGATTGTCAGTGAATTTTGTCATGTGTCTGCTGGTCACAGATAAATCAGTGGCACTGAGGAGCACAGAAATTTGTCGTTTTTTATAGAATTTGGTTTGAGCAAACGGTTCATTCTTAGCAATTTTTCAAAACAAGACCTAAAGAATAAAGTGATTTTAATTAAATATCAAGATTGTTGGATTAGATTCACTTAATTTTGTTCTCAGTGGAACTGAGGGTCACGCATGATACGGCCAAGGACAAGAAGAATGATTCTTTCTGTTTTTGCAGTTTGTGGCTCTAATAAACAGGTTAACCTTTGATTTTTTAGAAGATAACAAGCCTCCGATGGGTTTTGGGATTCAGACGGTTAACATAACAAAAACATCAGAAATGTGAAAGATAGCCTAAGAACTAAATATAGCCTAAAGTCCCCGATATGTGGTGAAAAGACAAACAACCTAAACATAAAAACCCCCACAAAATTAGGTATAAAGAGCTGAAACTAAAATCAGCTAATGTTGCTTTTGTTGAGGTTACAAACGAGGCTATAGTTTAATTGTACTGCATTACTGAGGGAGGGTTTCTGCTGTTGCTACTCTACAGTCACTGACTGTTCACCGTTGGTCGGTTAATCAGTAAAACAACTGCTCTGTTAAGCGCTGTTCCTCTCAGTTAGCTCCTACGGCCACGTTTGGATGATACATGACTAATTAAAGTGTACTGACCAAGACAAAAAGCTACTGTTATCAGTGGGCCAATGGTTGAATAGAACAGTGATGTGGGTTTGAATTGTGGCAAATCCTCGCAGTCGAAAATATGCAAACATCATATGAGACGCCCCGAGCTGTATGATCCTGAAGTCGACTGGTTGTACACTGTTTACAAACAAACAAACGCATAACTCTTAATTACTCCCTACTAATTCATAAAAAATATTCAGTGACCACTGTGAAGCCCGTCACGATGTCGACCTACTAAGGCTATATCATTTGTGAACGTAAGGAGGATCCATCTATGGTTTGTGTAGATGTGAGGCAGCATGTGTGGCCGCTGTGAAACGTGTGCGTGTTCAGTTTGTGTGAGTTCAATCAAAAGTATGACCGCAGCCCTGTGAAAGCCCACAAGTGTGTTTGTGAGAGAACAAGAGACACAGTGTGTGAGCTTGACGTCATGTTTTCATCACTCAGATATTAATATCACACACACGCCCCCACACCAATCCTCCGCACGCTTTCACACACATGCATGCACAACACACATGATGGGGCAGATGGAGTGTGTGTGTGTGTGTGTGTGTGTGTGTTAACTGGGAACAGATTGGCAGGGATGAGTCTTGTGAAGCGGGTTAAGTGTATCTGTGCGTGTCTGAATGTGAGTTCACCTTATAAAAAAAAAAAAAGGCTGTAAGAAGTTGAATCATTAGATCACAATCCAAACAATACACTAGAGGGCTTGTAATAGGTTGGTGCTGCGCCCGCTGTGCCACCGCAGAGCCAAAGTCAACTGCAGTCAGCTACATGGGCATTCGCAGTCATCGTTACGGCGCTGACACCCCGTTGGAGCCAGAAAAAGTCCAAAATGACACAACACAGAAACGGTGTGAGGCCAAAACCCAACACTGACTCAGACCAGGCGAACAATGCATTCCGTCCCTTTTGGAAGGCGGCCGCTTCAAATTAGTGGTGTTCTGGACGAGTTAGGAGGTTTTCTTTTTCCAAAAACAGAGATCCTCTGACCTGTGATGTCCTTAGATCCGGGCGCCGGGCTGTGTGGTGCTGCATGATCAAACGGACAGACGATGGGTGCGCTCTGGTGAGCAAGAATTCACCTCGTCATCTTAATAAAGGCTCATCAGTGTAACCAAGCGCAGCTAGCTGGGCTAGCGTTGCTAACCCAGCGACCCTGTGTTATCTGCTGTAGACCTGAGCACGGGGGGAGACTGGAGACCCGGGCCTGACCCCAGTCAAGCAGGAGGGTGGAGGGGGGTGTATCTGTAGTGAGAGGGCCAGAGGTGTGTGTGTTGGTGGGGGGGGGGGTCCATGGATGGGTCAGCAGGCGGCCTCTTTGAAATGGAAGCCTGGGCAGGACATGAAGCGGACACAGCCAGGGAGGGGATGTACGCTGAGACAAGGAGCTATTCTTCTGGTGAGGGAGTTGGAAGAGAGGGATGGATGCTTATCTTTGCTCGTGTGTGTGTGTGTGTGTGTGTGTGTGTGTCTCGGATTACCGAGAAGCGAGCCACATGCGCTGATGGAGGGCTTCGCCAATGCCACTTCCTGCTGGCAGGGGTCTGTGTGAGTCAGCCTGGTAGGAGCGCAGCAGAAACAGCACCTGCAGACACACACAAACACACACACATGAATTCATGAGCACACGATTATCATTTATTACATTTATAGATGAGACAGCATCAAAAAGAGAACTGGAGTCGATCTATTGATTAGCTGGTGTCAACTATTAAATTCATTGACAACTAGTTTAACAATCAATCAATCAGTTTGAGCAACTAATTAAAAAGAAAAGTCAAAAATGATTGACTCCAGGTTTTTGAATGTGAATGTTTTCTGGTTTCTTTCCTCCTTAATGACAGGACACTGAACCTATTTGGCTTGTAGACAACATTTCTCACCATTTTCTGAAAAGAGAACTGATTCATTGACAATGAAAATTATCTTTAGCTGTAGCCCACGTCAAAACAAAAGTAGATTCACAAACCGGAACCAAAAGGCTTCAACTACAGACACATGAACAGTCCTCCAGTGAATCAGACACTAAACACCAGTAGGTGTGAACGTGTCCACCTGCTGATATGTTTTAATCCTGTAATAGACCGACCCTCTATCTTGGATGCTCACCCGCCTCCTGCCTATGTGACTCAGCTCGGCAGGTGATTTGCTGAGTTTTTACAAGTTGGAAAAGGTCCAGACAAACAAAACAGTCGACCACAACCTGGTATGAACATACGAGAATCTAGAACTAGAGCCTCATGCTTGTCTGACTCCCCCGACCAGTCAGGATGCAGTTTATATGCACATCTGTCCAGACCTGACCTTTGACCTTGAACCAGTCTTACATGCTGCACAGATGAAGACTCTGAGATGAGATGTGTTGGTGCATTAATGCTGGATTTTTATATTTAAAATCAGATTTAAACATTTGTTCAGCACGTCAATTAATAAGAAGCAGGACAGTTAAATATTCTTGTCTTTACTGACTACTGGCCTCGTCCTCAAACAGAACCTGATGTTGGAGTTTCTTCACTTTTAAACCACCAGAGGCATCCTCCGCTTTTCTTTGACCTTTGACCTTTGGGGCATAAGATGCCATCACTTCACAATTTTATGGATGTTGGACATCCATCTATTGTCTACACACCGCTTAATCCTCACGAGGGTCATGAGGGGCTGGAGTCTATCCCAGCCGACTTAGGGTGAAGGCAGGAGACACCCTGGACAGGTCACCAGTCTATCACAGGGCCACACTTAGAGACAGACAACCAAGCACACTCACATTCACACCTACAGACAATTTAGAATCACCAATTAACCTCAGCATGTTTTTGGACTTGTGGGAGGAAGCCGGAGAACCCGGAGAGAACCCACGCTGCACGGGGAGAACATGCAAACTCCACGCAGAAAGATTCCGGTGCCCCCACCGGGACGCGAACCGGCGACCTTCTTGCGGCGAGGCAACAGTGCTACCAACTGCGCCACCCTGCAGCCCTCATGTTGGACAGTTGTGTGATTTCATTTTTAATAATTAATGTATGAAATTCAGAGTAATATCTGAAAAAGACTGTAATCGGTTCATCATTGAGTCCAAATGAACGCTTCGTACAAGAAATATGACGATCCTGAGAAAACGATGGACGACCTGAAAGCATAACGCATAAAAAGTAAACGCTGCACTGCAGGTCCAGGCTTAGTTTAATATGAACAAATCACACTTGTATTAAAAATGCCTGTGATCACACAAATATATTTTATTGTTATTTTATCATTTCACTATATGTGGACTTAAGCACAGCGCTCTCTTGCTCTACATGGAATTGTTCAAAAACTCTGCTCTATTTTACTACACATTTTCACTGAAACATGTAGAAATCATACTGAAAATGAGTATATACATGAGAAAATACAGTTTAAAATGATTATTGGTTGCATCTCCTTTAATGTATTATGTTGTGTTGAACAGGCAGAGACATGAGCATGTTAATCCTCCACAGCACTCCCACCAACCGCTGGCGCTAAACCTAAATTAGCCTTCAGAAGAAGACAGCTAGTATCCTCCCTTTTGATGTATTTATTTCTACTTTGCGTTGACCAGACAACACGCTGCCTCCTGCAGAGAACAGTCCATTCTGGCACTCGACTTCTGAATAGGAAAAGAAGGAGCTTTCCCACTGGAGATTGAATCGTTCTTTTCACTGTGGCTGATGTGACAGTGAGCGACTGAGCCAGTCTGCAGCAGGTGGACTGGCGGTTGGGAGTGTTCAGAGGCCAGGACACAGGCTGGCTGGATGGCTGGCTGGATGGCTGGCTGGCTGGGGTGTGTATTCTGGGCCTTGGTAAGTATACTCTTTAAGCTGGGGCCACGGCCACAGACCAGTAGGAAGCCATTCATTACGCTGTGCAGGGAAGGCAACATGGGGAAAAACCAGGCCGACCACGTAGCACCAAGCCTGGCCGCTGAGTCCTGGCCTGCCCCATCTCTTCTCCTGCAGTCTCCACGCCCAGGCAACACCCACTGGCTCTCACAAACAGCTTTCACACCCCCAGGTCCTTCTTCCCCCTCGCTGTCACTCTCTAAGGGCTTTTCCACCTACGAGGAGCCAGCGTTGGAACAGATTCCCAAACCAAATATTGAACATTTCCAAGTGATTCCACCGTCACGAAGCTGGTTCCAGTCACACTTGGAGAAGCATCTGCAAATATTCACATCGTGGAATCCAACGTGACTAACAAATCAAAGAATGCGTCTCCATTTTCAGTGTTAGCTCGAACCGGATTGTGCAGATTCTCAGACAGGGCTCACCTGCATAACCTGTAAAATTGCACTTTTCTTAACCAATTGACATCATGACCTCTTGTTGCAACTTGTGTTTGACAAAGGAGTTATTTCTGCATTGTACCAACATCCTGTTTCCATCAATGCAGCGGTAACGTACTCGGATAACCTTGTTAACTTACATAGGACCTATGACACCCCAAGCTATTTCAGATCAGCTTCGTTGGACACAAAATAAGCAACGGTGTCATCTCCTATTCTTGCTAGTAAACAACCAAACAGGACACTGAAAGTTTGGAGGCTTGATTTCAAGATAATTTAGGAAGATGTAAAAAAAATGTCTTAATCAAATGTGGCCTTGATGGTACACTAATACGAAGAGGATCTATTATCTAATCTGGTGTTAAGCTCAACCACTGCCCTGTTGGAGGTGATGTGGAAGTCAGAATTGTCTAACTTAGTCGGTAATCGCTTTGCTGAAACTTCATGCAACATTCTGGACGGCTGCTGATCTGTTCTGCGGCCGATGTCGTTGCGTCCACTTATGAAATTGTCCGCTTTCTTTGGAAGCACAAGTGAGCTCAGCGAAAGGTCACTTGAGCAGCGACACCAGTGCCAGCTGTGGTTCCAGTGGCAGCGGCAGGGCTCCGTGTCTTCACTCTCTCGCTGCGCTCCACATCTACACCTCATCCACTGGGCTGGGAAGTCCCTGCATGGGAGGCTGAACCGGCTCAATCCAGCCCGGCATGAAGAAAACCGAAATATTTATAGAAAATGCTGCCTCCCTGTTCCTCCTCCCAAAGACAGCGCGCACAACTACACCCCACGAGGGAGGAGATGCTGGGATTGGATCGAGCTCAAATGAATGGGAAGACGATAAGGCAGCAGCACAGAGACCTGCTGCAGGCTGTGGGACCGCAATCCAACAGATACCGACCATTTAAGAGAAATGACAAAATAATAATAATAATAAAACACAAGTATTTCTAATTGATGTAATATCACAACCTGGCTGACGGAGAAGCTGCACAGACATGTTGATCTAGCATTTATTGTTGATGTTATTGAATATATTTAGTATGTTGGGTAGCGCTTACCATCATCTTTATTATCGAAAAACATGGTTATTAAAATTACAGGTCTTGTAAGGAATTCGTAAGGCCGTATGGAGACTTGTACTCCTCGTTCTATTACATTTCCTCGGAGCTTTTACTTTCAGCTGATGTTGTGTGTCATGTTATGCTGAGCAGGTGGACTGTAGCTGGTGCATCGTGGCATTTAACGGGTTTAATTAGAGCAACGACACTGAACCAAACAGTAAAGCTGTGAGCCACAAAATCAAATAAATGAGCTGAAACACACTGAACTACTAACTAAAGAAGAGGGATTCTTTAAGGATTTGATTTGTTATTAATATAATAAATTAAACTTTTAAATCCTTTTGTCTCCCCCCTCTGGCAGTGACAGTGATTACACAACCGCAGTCCACCAGTGCTTGTGACGCACGTATCGCCGTCGATCACTTTTGTTATTGGACTGTCATCCTTCCTTTAAATGCCAGTTTCTTTTTTATATTTCGGAGCATCCCAAAGCTTTTCTTGGGTTTTTCCACCATAGGATCCACTACGCTACCGGCTGCTGTAGCGTACTCCGTCTCCGTTGCTACGGCTACTTCCCTCTACAGCTCTGGCAAACCAGTCACGCTTCCCGTAAGCTGCATCACTGCTGGTGTCGCCGCAGAACCCATTCCTGAAACTCTAGTTTACTGAAAATACAGAGAGATGTATGATGGGCTCAATCAGGCTTTATGTAACAACAGCTCATTCATACGCAGAAATCGCTCATTTACTTTATGACCGAGCAGCAGCATCACCACCCTCCCTCTAGACCTTTGGTTGGAGCTTTATGGTGCAAAGGACTTGCCACTGCTGTGCTAAATATGAAGGAGATCAATCCTATTTGTATGCCTTGTTTTCTAGTGAGGCGTTTAACTGCTTGTGCATGTGCGTCTATTCTGTGTGTGAGTGTGTGTTGCAACGAGCCTTACTCCACTTTTGGGCCCGGTAAAAATAGTGGTGGTGGATGTGAGGTCCCTTCAGACTCTGTTATCAGCCTGCCCTGCCGTCCCTCCCACTGCCGCAACCACAGACTGACCACACGTTGCTGCGAGCACGCACACACACACACACACACACACACACACAGCAAGTGCAAGTGCAAATAATTGCACGGCAATCCATGGCTCCGTCCAGTAAAACACATGCACAAAGAAACACATAAATCGGCATTCACATAAAAGTAGATAGTGGGTAGGCAAAGTGTGG